AGCCTCCAGTAATGGAGCACCCACAACTTCTGAAGGCAAGTTGTTCCACTGGTTGATTGTTCTGTCAGAAAAAAAATACGCTTCACTTTTTCTCTTTATTATTGTGGGCTCATTTGAGAGTTATATTGACTGAATAGAAGGCCATTTTCCACCTGCTTATACTGTTGTTGTTTTTTTATTATTCTGGGCAATTTCAATACTACTTCAAGAACACAGGAATGCTTATGAATAAATAATATACATTCTAGAAATAAATACTATTTTGTAGCACGTAATCTATTGACTTTATAAAAGAAAATACAGCCAAGTCATCTATCAGATATAAATATTTCATTAAAACAAATATAAAGAAAAAAATTAATAAAATTGCTAATTATGAGATTTTTAAAAATCCAATCATATATAAAGTTGGAACAATAATTCAAAGTTGACAATCAACAAATAACATTGTGGAATATGTGAAATATTTTGATTTATTTATCATATTTAGGAACTACCCATCTCCCTCACAGAACGATTTTGGGTGGTGTACAATAACATACTAAAAGCATAAAAACAATATGTAAAGTACACATAAAACTATTTATATACACGGATGCAACTGATATATACGATTGGCCAAAGGTATATACATTGCCATCTCTCAGAGCTTAATTTTTATTGTTTTTAATCTTCTCTAAATTTATAATTAAATTACATGATTTACATTATGTCATATACCAAATATTAATGACAAGACAAAAAGATATTTAGCAATAACTGCAAAAACATAAGATATTAATGTTTACCATAGACATAACTTCTTAGGAAATCTTAATCTAATGTCCAGGGTCTCCATTTCATTATCTCCATGAACAGGAACACACACACACACACACACACACACAGAGAGAGAGAGAGAGAGAGAGATACATCAACAATTTATTTAATCACAGTCACAATTCTAGGTGACTTACAAATAGGACTGAATTAGAACAATAAAAACAAGGAACTAATCACAAACAATAATTTCACATTCCATGTTATAGAAAATAACAACCATTTACAAAATAATACAGAACATTCTTTGACTAGCCAAAGCCAAACCACTCAGCCCCAGGGCCTACTAAAAAGCCTGGTCTTATAAGTCTTAAGGGATTTCCAAAAGATGATAGGGTCAGGGCCATATGGACTTCCAGAAGAATGATGTTCCATAGGACAAATCTGGGTATAGAAAGATCCTCCAAGGTCCTGCAAGAGTCCTCTGCTTTCCCAATGGGATCTGGAGCAAAACAACCCTGCCAGATCTTATGAGAAAAGCAGAACAAAAATCCAGAGAGGGGTAGCCAGTAGGCAACCAGGAAGCCAGAAAGAGCCTTATGGGAGACAATTAGTAGCTTGAATTGCATCCAAAAGTCAACTGTCAACCAGCACAGCTTCTGAAATAGTGATGTTTTAAGAGTGAAATGACATACTCACTGGTGCATTCCATGCCTGCATTCCAAGGGGACTTTAAGGGCAGTCTCATGTAGAGTTGTATTGGGGAGCAGCTGATCTTTTAAATCAAAAGCCAGACTTATGTGCTTGATCACATTCTCGTTACCAAACCAACTGGAACTAGATAGAACTGGTTTGGAACTACTAAACCAGAAAAGAGAACAACTGCTATAGAATAATATTCTCTATCCCCAGCCCCAAAACTGATCCAGAAAGATATGATCAATTTATATTGAAAGTTGTAAAGAGATCAAGCAACACCAGCCAAGTCACATCAACCCTGCCCTGTCCCACCAGAAGTCTTCCATAAGTGTGATTGGTATCATCTTAGATATTCTAATCTAAAGTCTGACAGAAAAGAGTTCAGACAATCTATTTCTTTGAGGGTCCTCTAGAGTTGCATCCCTATCACCTTCTCCAAAGCAGGGAGTTTGGAAACAGGTTGAAAAATCATCTAATGCTGCTGGGTCCTAAGATGGCTTTTTGAAGAAAATATACCTTTTCCTCAAAACCACTTTTTCAAGAAAGTAGTTACACCTCCTCACTTAAAGATGAATTTACCATAACCTGAACACAACCAATGGCAATCATTTGGGCAGCATTAACCAACTAGAAGGGACAAACATCTAACAGCCATCTGGCAGCACTTACACCCCCAAAAGATCTTGTCCTTTATCCCCAGGTACCAGGTACAAAGGCAAAACCCAGCTTCAATTAGCTCTATAGCAACTGACCGACCAAAGCCAAATGGATCTGAGTGGTTGTATTAACCACATGCCTAAAGTATTCCTACAATGGCTCAGTAATTCCTTATCAGGATTACAGGTAGACTTTTTTAGTAACTGCCCCATTTAGTGATTATTCACAGTTACCACAGTGATGAAAAAATAACTTTATGACCAATCCTCACATTTATGATCTTCACAGGAAAGATCGTAAAGCAAAGGAAAGCTGAAGTAAGATCATAAGCCCAGTCACAGTTTCACTTAGTTTCGCTTAATGATTGAGTTGCTGGCCCCAAATGTGCTCACTAAACCAGTGGTTCTCAACCTGTGGGTCGCGACCCCATTTAGAGTCGAACGACCATTTCACAGGGGCCGCCAAACAACGCAGTCCGCCATTTTTTTCCCTTTTCCTTAGCAGTGCTACTCCCTCTTATTCTATTGGCTTTTGAAAGCCAATAGAATAGACTCTATTCAAGAGACTCTATTCTATTGGCGTTGTTGGCACGCGTGGGCCCGGCAGGTGGCTTACCTCCCTTGGGCTGGGCCAGCTGGTGGCCCAGCCGGTGGTCACCCTGCGCCCTCGCTGCCGTGAGCCATGGCTGCCCAGGAGCACCTGGGCCTGCCTGCCGCCACACCGAACGTGCGCTGGCCAAGGTAAGGCTAGCGGCGCAGCGGCGGGCGCAGAGAGGGTTGCTGGCGCGCGTGGGGCCCGGCGGGTGCCTTACCTCCCTTGGGCTGGGCCAGCTGGTGGCCCAGCCGGTGGTAGGCCTGCGCCGTTGCTGCCGCTTGCCAGCTACGCCTCGGCTGGCGCAGGGGGCAGCACCACGCATGCGCGGCGCTCCTGGGATGAGGCAGTTGCTGAGCAATGGCCTGTGTGCACCCTCGGCCTGCCCAGCGTGCGCTCCAGCAGCAGTAGAGGTGGCGGAGCATGCGCGCCTCCTCCTGCCCCGCCCACAGGGAAATACAAGTAGTCCTCGACTTACGATCACATGGTTGGGGGTCGCAGCATTAGGAAGGTTGAGAACCACTGCACTAAACAAAGACATGTTTTTCATGCCCCTCCCTCCATAAAAGGGTCAGTGTTACAGGAACTACTGCTCAGCATTTTGCAAGCTGCGATAAGCTTCCCACCTCCCCTGCTAAAATATTTCTTACACTTTTGAAAACTTTGGGTTGCTCAACAACCGCTATGTAAAAGGCTACTGAGTGGTGTTCTAAGGGTCACACATGCAAAATCTGTGCTGGACAGAAAGCATCAAGACTAAAACTAATTCCCTTTTTATTAAAAAAAGACTGAATAAGATTACCTCCAATACATTTAAAATTGCTTTATAGTGAAGAAAAGAAATCCAAGAAATGAAACGGAAGCTGCACCCTTCCCCCCTCCCTCCCTCCCCCGTTTTTTGGACATGGCCAGAATCAAACCAGCTCCTCTCTTTGCATAATCCTATCAGCCCACTATTGACTCTCCCCACCTCCCCAGACAATCCCATCTAAACTACATTGTAACAATTTGAGGAACCTCAATCTCCCATCCTCAACCAGCCTGTCGACTTCAACATTCCCCAACTCTGCTGCTCTTCCAGAAGGCCCCTTTTGTCTAGCCACAGGATTTCCACCTTGTAGTGCTTTTATATAGAAAAGAACTTATAAAAGAATTACAAGGTGGGAATCCTGTGGCTAGAATGGGCCTTTTTACAAAAATCTGGCTTCCCAATTTTCAGGCCCCTTTCTTGGAAACCATGCACCTAAAGATCAATAAAGCTTGATTCTTTTCAGTGTTGTGCTCTTTCAGATTGACTAATACCTTCTGTATACTAAAGATTACAATTGGAGGCACTCTGGCTTGTGGGTGGGACACCCAGGGCCTTGACATTTGTGCCGCCATGTCCTATAGCTACCAGATATCTCTCTTGAAAGAACACCTGCTGCTGTTTTCTTACTTTAGTGATAACACTTACCCTGAACATTGGACGTATTTGAAGTGATGTTGATAGACCTTTGATGATTAAGCCTGGGCTCTAGTCCAGAATGCTTTATATTAGAATTAATACTTAAAGCAACTTTATAATAAGCTGATATATGGATTCTCTTCTAGATTAATAACTTTGATGGCTGCTTTGTTAAAGAAGAACCATCTACCTGTGTCAATCTTGGTCAAATTATGTGGTGTACATCTACTAAGTTAGCAATACTTACTGTATTTTCCTGCGTATAAGGCGACTTTCTAAACCATGAAAATCTTCTCAAAAGTCAGGGTCGTCTTATACACCCAGTCATTTTATACGCCGGAAAATACGGTAATTGTTTCTTTTCTGCTCGTCCCTACCTTTAACTCCTGCCCTTTTGCCCTGTACCTTGGCAAAAGTTTTGTTTCCCTACAGCCCTGCCAATAAATTGTCACTACCTTTGGGGAGGTGGCTGACATCAGAGACACGCACGCACGAAGCCCAGCCTCTGAGACCGTCATCGTGTGTACAGGGGGAAAAGATCTCCTTTCTCATGCGACCCCGTCGCAGAACGCGGGGCGAGCAGACCTCTCGCCTGTGGGTTTCAATGTTGCTCCTGCAGCAGAGAAGCAGCAGCAGCAGCAGCAATCGCCGTTGTCACCACCCCACCCACCACCCCGTCCAATCGCCTCCCTCGGGTGGTCGTCATCTCCTTTGACTGATGGGCTGCTCGGCGCGCCCGGATAAAAACCTCACCACCACGCCCCCCCCCACTTTCCCCCGCTCTCGTCTTTCCTTAGCCACGCGCGCGCTCTGCGCTTTGTCCAAGTTTGCCCACTTCGTTGGCCTCAGGGAGAAAGGTGGGAACCTCAGCGCCCCCTTTAGCCAATGAAGACGTTCGGAGTGGTGAGGGGTCGAAGGAGGCGGGGCGCAGAGCACATCTCTGCTCGAAGGCCACGCCTCCTCGTTGGGCTGCTCCTTCAAAACCACCTGGAAGAGGCTCGCGGGAATGGAACCGCCTTAAGGGCTGGCTCGCTCGTGCGACAGCCGGATTAAAGGAAATCTATGCAAATTGAGCTCCGAGAGCTTGAGTGTTGTCACAAGAGTGCAGGGAGAACGTTCTCTTCGCGCCCGCCCGGCCAAGTTCTGGATCGCGCTCCTGCTTTCTTGACGCGGGGCATGTTTGCAGTGCCTCGGCATTGCTAAGGAGCCAGGAGCGCCAAGCTGTGTAGCCCAGGCCGCCTCGGCGCTTCGCTTCGCGGTTATGTCCCCCGTCAGCGAGGAGGTGGGAGAGGAGAACGCCGTCCCCGCTCCCTCCCCTCCGGAAGAAAGTGAGTCGGTGGGCGAGGAGAAGCCGAAAAAGGAGAACGGAGAATGGTGCCCGCAGGAAGCCTCGCTCGCCTCCGGGAACGCAGAAGGTCCCCTGGTGCTTTCTGGGCTCGGGGCGACGCAGGGTCCTCCCGAGAAGGCGGCGGAGCAGGGGGAGCCGCCGCAAGGGCAGCAGGAGACGGCCGAGCCGCCCGAAGGAGGCTGGGGCTGGTTTGTCATGCTGGCCTCCATGTGGTGCAACGGGACTGTCTTCGGGATCCAGAACTCGTGCGGAATCCTCTTCAAGTCCCTGCTGTCGGAATTCGGAGACCCCAACGACAAGCAGCTGATGTTCAGGACAGGTGAGAGGCAAGAGTGGACGCCTGGGGCTTCCCTTCCCAGCTGCCTTTAAAGCAGCGAGGCGATGGGTCCCGGGGTCCCCCAAAGACATGTGGGAAGGGGGGAATGTCCTGGAAATGGGCGTTCTTGAGCACAGCGGAAAGGCGACGAGAAGAAGGGACTGAGCAAGCTTTCCTCCGACTCCGGGATGAGGCTTGTAATCCACAACATCCGGAAAGCCCCAAGTTGGAGAAGCCTGTGGTGGACTGCATGGCAGCTGGATACCCGCCTCCCAAGTGCGAGTGCTGCAGGTCCGGCCAACAGTGTGCTGCCAACCCCCCCCCCCCATCGGTGCTCTCAGTAGTGTGTGTATGCACAAATGCAAAACGTGCTTTGAAATTTAGCACCGAACATTTCTTTACATTATGGCATACCGTTTTTAATTCTTTGCAAGAAAACTCTACCTCTACCCCCATGTAGTTCTCAGAATCAGCCTGCCTCAAAGATAAGGACATCTTTATCTTCTTTTTTTTTTTAGTAACATAAGACTCTGTATCTCTCATATCTATACAGTCATATGGTCTGGGGGCCCAACTATGAATGTTACTGGTTTTGTTTGGCATCCTGCCTAAAACATTTTCTCTCTGGTATTGTCACCTTGAACTGCCCCCCCTCTTTTTTTTTTAGTTTTTTGTATAATGTAGTTGCAAGGAGGGATACCAGTTGTAATTTGACAGTGGCATGGGGAGTTTCCTTTGTAAAAAAAAAAATAGATCTCTTTTGCTTTTGTGTCACAGGTGGCATAAAGCATCAGCTTTGTGACCTGCAGCTCCCCCTCCCCTATCTAAAAGAATGGAGAAATTGCTCTTTTCACTTTTGTAAGGAAAGAAAAACATTATCCTGGAGGCAAGGATATCCTGGCAAATGCCACCTTGTGTTCTCTAAGGTTACCTGAATTCTACGTGGCTATACTTAATTGTTAGTTGAGTAAAGCAAGAAGTATGACAGTTCATAAAGCACATACTAACCACGCAGTATATCATTCTAGGTTGGCTAGGGTTTAGCCTAGTGTGTTGTGCAAACCCAGAAATTTGAGCTAAGTAAACCACTTAATCATATATTAGTGAGCCTGTAAATATCACCATTACAACTCAATAATCAAGGTGAAATAATACTTGCTGGGCAAACTTGTGAAATACAAATTTAAAACAACTGCATAGTACTTAAAATCATGCAATTCTCATAGAAGTAACACTAGAAGAAGGAAAAAAACTGTCAAGGCATGTGAACTTAAAATATATTTAAATTTAAAAATATAGATCTTTTTATTACTTACACTGTTATTTTAGTCTTTATTTTGTGGAAATAAAAAACTGATAAAAATTATGTAACTTAATTAGAAAAATGTGTTTATAATTCTTTTTGTAAATGACAGTGTTCCCATCCAATTAATTTGAACTTAAAATGATTTTAATTTGTTTAAAAATACAACATTCCAGATCTAGATCTGCATAGTTATATGAATTTTCTAAGGAAAGTTTAGTGGCTAGTGACAATGCGTTTTTTCCTTCAGTAAAAAGCTGAAATTATGTTGACCATCTGTTGATTTCGGTGTAGACTACAATTCTCTATCTGCTTGTGTAAGAGTTCCCATTGAACTCAACAGGATATAGCAACAGCACTTAGACTTATACACCGCTTCACAGTGCTTTACAACCTTCTCTAAGTAGTTTATAGAATCGGCATTTTGCCTCCAACAATTTGGGTCCTCATTTTATTGACCTCAGAAGAATGGAATCTTGAGTCAGTGAGAATCGAACTGCTGACCGTCAGTAATGCTGCAGTCTAACCACTGTGCTACCAGTGCCTATATATTTCTAGATATGTGTAGGATTACATTTTTGGTAACTCACTGCACAGTACATTTTTGGAGGTTGCCACTCTGTTGTACAATGCAAATCTAAGCATTATACAGATTCTTTACCCAACTGCCATTTGTCTGATTTGGGTTAATAAACAAAAACAAAACAAAATTAACTAATGCATTTATTTTAATTCCTGATAGCACCTTTATCAGATTATTTTGAAAACCAGTTATTAGGGGAAACTGTTGTTGACAGTGGAGGATGGGGTTGGGGGTCTGGTGTTCAATGGTCCATGAGGTTGAGAAGAGTCAGACATGACATAGTGACTGAACAACAAGATTGCATCTTGCTATTATGATTTCAATGACTGCATATGTCTAGTTGAAACTGAGTATGAATTTCATGCAAAATACAGGCTATATGATCCCCATTATTTTTGCCCACTGATGAGTAATGGTAAACTTTAAATAATTGCTTTGACTTGGACTCAAGGAATATTTCATTATTGTGAAAGTATCTAAATTAGAAAAGTATGCACTGCTTAAGTAATTTGAAAAGTCTAATATGGCTGCTTAGCTTGGCATTGAATGTAGTAGAAATATAATGACATCATTACATCGTTGTTTCTTGTTGGAATATATTAATCTTTATTTTCAGAAGCAAGTTTTTCTGATGTTTTATGATATATGTACATTGTATAAATACATTACACATTGTGTAAATACATTACATTAATATAATCTGTCATCTTCTAGCTAAAATAAATTGCACCTTAGGACTAATAAAAGCTGAATGAACATAGACAGCACCAAGCATGGGCTGAACATATTCAAATCTCTTGAAGGGACATCGAAAACTATCTTGTTACTCCATACAGTAATAGGGGAAGAGAATGTAGTTTAGTGTGCAGGGACTAGTCCAGTGATGGCGAACCTTTTAGAGACCAAGTGCCTAAACTGCAACCCAAAACCCACTTATGCATCGTCGGGTGCCAGGTGGGTGTGGCCCATTGGGTGGATGTGGTCCATTGGGTGGGCGTGGCTGCAGTGGTAACAGCAGACTGGGTTGGACTAAAAAGTTCAACCAATCAATTCCAACTTTGCAAGATCTTTTTTTTTTCCTGCGAGAAGTTGAAATTGACTGATTGATTGAACCTTTTTTTTTTGTACATGGCGGCGGAGACCTAAAGCGAAAAGGTTTTATAAAATCCAGCTGAAGGCCTAGGACTGGGGCGACGGCATGCATGCCCACAGAGAGGGCTCTGAGTGCCACCTCTCGCACCCGTGCCATAGGTTCGCCACAACTGGACTAGTCTAGGTAGTTATTAGGAGTCAACAGTGATTCAAAGGCACAAATTAAAAAAAATAGGGGAGGAGGAGAAACAGTTGGTTTGTCAGGAACAAAGTCAAAGGATGTAAGGAGCAGAAGAGAAATGCCACCAAGCTTCCCTCATTTAAATATATTTATTGCTAAGGTTTTGAAGCTATTTTTATTATTATTCAATTTAAGAGGCTGCTTCAAACTAAGGCAAAAATAGACTAGATAGAATCTATTTCCTTTATATAGGACAGGGGTAGGCAACCTTGGCTCTTTTATGACTTGTGGACTTCAGGGAGTTGAACTCCACGAGTCATAAAAGAGCCAAGGTTGCCTATCCCTGTACTAGGACAACTTGCCATGGCCACCTTGCTGTAGCCAACTCATCACAGCCAATGTGCTGCAGCCAACTTGTGGCCAACTTTCCGTGGGGCACTGGCAGTACTGTTTAAACTCATCTGAATCTAACAAGTCTCTCTTTGCCTTCACAGCAGTGGGGGATGGGTGTAAAGTTATATCTTTCTTATAATCAGAAACATTCATACCGAGCATCTTTAGAACTATGCAGAAGAAAAGCTTAGAATAGTAAAAGCCGTTTGGAAAGAAGTGAAATAATTAGAATACTGTTTATAGGAATAATTCCAGTGCTGGGTGTGAGGGACTGTTACAAACATGTGGCAAATAAAAGGAGCAACTATGTTTTCTTCAGGCTTGTTTAAAATATGCATTCATTCAGCTTCAGATCCTTCTTGTGGCTCTCATCAAACAACTGCCCCTTTGTTAATTCTCTACTCATTTTCATATGTTTTCCAAAATAAGTTGCAGTAAGCTATATGAAATGTATTTGGGGGTCAGGTCCTTAGAGGATAGAGAAATCCTCTGGAATGCTGAAATGACCATCTGATGTAAATAAAAAGAAATTTACAGAATAAAATCTGCTTTAGATTACTTGAAGATACTATTAGCTTGTGTATAAAAGAGATGAATATAATAAAATACTTGTTTTATTAGTGAATATTGAAGTGATTGTTGCTTTCAAAAATGCATTCCAAAAATGCATTGTTTAGTGACTGCTTTGTTTAGTGACCATTTGCAGTTACTATGGTGATGGAAATGTCAGAAATATTAAAGATTTGCTACTTTATTTTTCTAAGAACAAATTAAAAGAACATAAAAGATAAGCCTTAATCAATATTAATTATTATGAACAAAATATAAAGTTATCTTCTATCAGACTTTACCAGATGTTACAAAACTGTTCAGCTTTTAATGAAGTATCACTAGTTCATATTTTTTGACATTTAAGTCTTATTTTGGTAACTGCTCAGCTTTTTTTCAGCTGCAAAGTTGAAAATAAACTCTTTGATTTACAAATAACATTCATGAAATATTGCCAAAAATTATATAAAGAAACAACTTTATATACAACATCTACAACTATTCTATATCAGTGAATAGTGAAATCAAATTATGTAAAAATACTAAGAATGCTTAGTAAATGTTTTAAAAAAGTAACTCAGGAACAATATTTCACAAACTTTGCAATGAATATATTAACATTTGTATTTGTTCCACCTTGAAAATATCAATGGAGTAATATTAAATTGTCTGTTGTATAAGTATACAGCAATAGCTAAACAGATAGGATCCATGCATTTTATGTATTTCATAAAGGAAGTTTGGATCTTTTAGTGTTTCAAGGCTGATTTTGTTGGATAAATCAGTTATCATCCATTTCTGTATTCCCAAGAGGTCAGAATTGCAGTGGAAGAAGTCAAAGGGCAATCTCTGTGAGGTTGTTTACATTTTCTCTGTGACTTGCTTGATACAATGAAATATAC